AAACAATTTGGGGCTGCTGTCCCAAAGGAGAGAAAGGTGAATTCGCAGCGTGACAGGGCTGAGCCTCCACGGAGCCCTCCCACACGCCCCACGCCGCTTCCCAGCAATGCTCTGCGCTGCAGAAGGCTTTAGGAAGCTCCTGGGGAGGTACGGGAGCGCCCTTCTTCCACACAACCCATTTTACAGATGGCAAGATCGAGGCAAGGGGACGAAGCTGCAAAGCAAACAGCAGCTGAGCGAGCAGCAAAATGTGAAGTCTTGGCTTCAAAGCCCCGGCTCTGCCCATCCTTGCATAAAGAGCCCACCCCGACGGGGCGCAAGCCTCCCTCACGCAGCCTGCGCCCTCCCCTCTGGCTGAAGAACCGAATCGCCGGGGGAAGGACGGGGAGAGGCAGCGGGGTGCAGGAGGGCCGTGGAGCACAGACAGCACGGCCGGGCGGCACTCACCAGTACGTTGATATTCTCCTTCTGATTCAGCAGCGACCGCACCTCCTCTACATCGCGGTTGAAGATGGCTTGGACCAGAGGAGGCTGCAAAGAGAAAGACGAGCAGGTGGTGAAGGTGGCAGCACCTGGAGGATGCGGCCGGGCCGGGAGCTGGCCGGGCTCTGCCATGCCAACGAGCTCCTCCGCCTGCTGCTGCCCAGGACGGGCCCGGCGGCCGCATCCAGCACCCCTCCGGCAGCTCCGACGGGCACAGCTCGCCTCCTGCCTTTCATTTTAAGCAAACGAGAAGTCGCTACTTCAAAAATGACTCGGACAAACTGAAGGGGATTTAACGTCGATGGGGAACGCGGAGGGTTGGGAGGCTGCAGCCAGAGCCAGGACGGCACCGGCACCACCAGCACCGGGAACCCTGCACGCACGGGCCCACGGCCCCTTGGCTTGCTCCTGCACCACAGAGGTCACTGAAAACACACCACGGGCTACGTGAGGAGCGGGATTAAGTCCTTAGCAGCTCAGCCAGCACCAGGGACCGGTTTTCAAGCCAGTACAGGTAGTTTTCATGACACGGATGGCTGTTGGTTGGGGAAACAGGCCCAGGGATTGCTAGGAAAGCCTCCCCACTACCACAGCCCAAAGAGCGGCACCGATCTCAGAGCCAGCGTCCCAGCCACAGCCCCCAGCAGCGTGCCCATGGCACAGCTCGGTGCCCGTGCTGCAGAACCCACCACACAGCAGCGCCCGGGCACTGGGACCCCAGTCCCGCTCACGGCCTCAGCCACAGCCAGGGAACCTTTCCTCCGAGCAGCCTGAAGCCTCCTGGTGCCAGCCAGCTCTTTGCAGACCGCACTCAGGCTTCCCAAGATGCAGCTACGTGATGCCTCACGCTCTCCTGCAGAAGACCTCGTATTTATTGCCTCCCTCCTATCTTTTGAGAAACACCTGCAATGCTACGCTGGCTCCGACGCCACAAAGAGCCTGGCAGAGCCAAGCCTGAAGCTCATCCCGTTTGCTGCTGCTCACATCTCCGAGAAGTCACCTGGCAGGCCCTGGCAAAAAGGGCAGGCAAAGCTCCAGCCAAACTCCTACCAAGCAGCGCCGTGGGCTGCAGAACCGGCGTCCCGAGCAGCCAGCGCCTCCTGCCACATCCCCGGGCACAAGGGGTGCTGCCTGCGCCCCGAGCATCACCTGGTTCTCATTCCCCAGCCCTAAGAACAACATCGTGACACCCCAAACTCTCCGGGCAGAGGCTGCGGCCGCTCCAGACCCACCAGCACCACCCAGACGCCTCCCCACAGCCCCTCACACCGCGACACGCAGCCGGTGGCTGCTGCTGGCCCCTTGTCTGCAGCCCCAGCACCAAACCGAGGAGCCCCGCAGGTCGCAGCCCACCGGGGGAACGCCACCGCCACCACCGCTCGCCCCGGCCAGCCCCACGCCGCCCGCCGCACACAGCACAGCGACAGCATTAAACACGGGGAACACATCCCGGGTCAGAGGCAACGCGTGCGTCATTCCCCTGGAATGCAGCAGACTCAGCATCACTCGTTAGACATTACAAAAATAATAATATATATATATTTTTTTTAAAAAAAAAGGAGGAAAGATTCGCAGATGGTAATTACGCCCTGAGCACTTCAGCAGCGCGCGGTTTGCAGCAGCGCTGGCTCTGACACACCCACCCCCCGTACAGCGAGCTCAGTGTTTGGGTAAATGACAAAAAATAAAATCAAATATAATAAAATAAAATACAGTTCCGTTCAAATCGCGCTCAGGGCCCCGGCCCCGTTCCCCCCTGCACCCGCCAGGCGCGGGCTCAGCGCCGCCGGATCAACGCCGCCACCGGGGCGAGGGGCAGGCACCGGGGGCCCCCCGGAGCCCGAACGGAGCCGCTTGGAGGCAAAACCGTGCGGGAGCGGCGGGCTCCGGCGGCCGGGCCCGGGGAAGCGGGGCCGAGACCCGGCTGCGGGGGGCTCGGGGCCCGGGGCCGGGCCGCGGGCGAGGGCCACGTGCGGGCGCTGAGCGCCCCGGGGGGCGCCCCCGGTACCGGCTCCGTGCCCCGAGACCCCGGGCCGGGCCTCTCGGAGCCGGGTCCCGGCTGCAGGAGCCCGGGCGGCCCGCTCCTTCCCGGGGCCCCGCGCCGCAGGGCGGGCTGCCGAGCGCGGGGCCCGGCGGTGCGGGAGGAACGCGGCGGGGCCCCGAACCGGGCCGGGCCGGGCCCCGCAGGGTGGGAGCGGGCTCGGGGGGGGGGGAGCTCCGCGGTGGGGCCGGGCCCCGGGAACCGGGAGCCGCGGCCTGGGGCGGCGGCCGGGCCCGGTGCGGCGCGCGCTAGGCCGCGCATCCCCGGGCTCGCGTAGCGGCGCTGCCGGGCGCGGCGCGGGGCAGGGCGGGCGGGGGGCGGCGGCGGTGGCGGTACCTGGTCCGTGATGCTGAGAATCCCCATCTCGGGGCCGCCCTCAGCGCCCAGCTCCCGGCATCGGGCTCCGGCCGCGGCGGCTCCGCTCGGGCGGCTGGCGGGGCGGGGAGCGCCTGAGCCCGCCCACAGCACAGGGAGCGGCCGCCACCGGGCCGCAGCGCCGCCGCCGGCCGCCAGCACCGACAGCGGGGCCGGGGGGGCGGCGGGACGGGGCCCCGCGGCAGGCTGAGGGGCGACGGGGACCGGAGCCCCCCCCCGCGGCGAGGCCGGGCCGGGGGTCGCGTCCCGCCCCGGTGCGTCCTCAAGGGGCTGGGGGGGTCCCTCCGGAGCAAACGGGCTCAGCCCGGTGGCCCCCCGGGGTTGGGGGTGAGCAGCACGGAGGGGACCCGGTGTGAGGAGGACGGGGGACGCCGGGGGGGTTTGTCTTAGCGTCGTCTTCCCAGGCCCGGTGGCCCCGAGCCAGCCCGCAGACACCCCCGGTCCCCGCCTGCCTCCAGTTCGGTGGCTCGGGGGGGTTTGCTATGGGGAGCCAGGTGCCGGTGGCTCCTGCACACGGGACGGTGGCTTCCCACGTTGACTTGCCCTGCAAACACTGCTGCTTCCCTGGGGTCGAGATCTGGTCTGGGGCTTCCACATCAGGAGGGCTGGATGTGCAGGCAGCAGGCAAGCAGCGCACTGTTGCAAAGCCTTTGGAGTGAGCTGCAATGGACTGAAGGCTCGCAGGTTGCTGGTAGGAGCTGTGCTCTCTCTGTCTCCAGTTCCCAGGGTAAAACCACCTGGAGCAGCCTCTCCTTGGCAGCAGCCCCCAAATCCACTTGATCACTGCCTGCAAGGGCCCTAATTACCAATTAGGGGCTGATTGTGTCAACAGGTGCTCTGCAAACCCTTTCTGCTGCTGCATTAATCACTGGGCTGTGCCCCATGCTCTGAACTGACAGCGGTCCATTACAAAGGCAGCTCTGCTTCTTCCATCACAAAGTGCTAAAACCCCGCTGGGATCTCATTGCCTGCAGCAGCAGGTGAGCACCCTGAGGTGCAGCCCTTGCTCCCAAAACACGGTGTCTGGAGAGCAGCCACGCACAGGGCCTGCTCTCCCCATCCCTGTCCCTGCAGCGCTGTGGCACCGCTCCCCTGCTGCCATTTTCACCGCTGCTCCTTGTGCCCCGTGCCTGCAAACACCGGGCCAAAGCAAAGCGCATCCCACTGCGGGCTTGGTGATCTGCCTAAGGCTCAACCCTAAAGTGAGGATTGTGTCCAACATCCCCCTTTCGCACCACACCTGGTGCAGCACAGCCGGCGGCTCTGTGCCATCGCACGGGGACGCAGCTCTGCGGTGCTGGCCGGGCTCCATCCTGCCTGCCCTGGTGCTCTGCTGGGAGTGCCCGGGGCCTCTCCCTGAAGCTTCCAGGAGGAGAACAGCTCCTGGGAGCAGGCAGAGGCAGCACAGCTCCTGCTCCCAGTCCCGGGAGCAGCACGGAGCCGTGCCGGTGGCCTGCACCCACCCCGAACACAGCTTTAAGGGACGGGGATGTGGGAGCTGCTCCCTGAGCCGGACCCTGCGGTTCTGCAGCTGTTGGGCGCTGCTTTCGCTGTGCCCGTGCCAGCAGCGGGGGCACCTCGGGGCGCTGCAAATAACCCCGGGACGGAATCAGGTGGCCGGCCACGGGGACCCGGTCTTGTGACAGCTGCGGCAGCTCGGCAAGGGCCTGGGGAGCCGAGCTCGGAGGAGGAGGAGGAGGAGGAGGAGGCGGCGCGGGGGCTGCTGACGGTGCCCGGGCTATTTTGGTGTGCGCTGCGCCCAGGTGCCCCCCAGCAAGGTGAAATGGCCGCGGGCAGCAGCTGCTGACATTTCCCACCGCCCAAACCGAGCCCGGGCAGCGGCGGGGCTGAGAGCGGCCGGGGAGGCGCCCGGTGCCCGCAGCCCCCGACCCCCGCTGCCCCCGGGCCCCGCGGGGAGGCCTCGGGGGAGATGTGTGTGGGGGGGGGAGGGGGAAGGGTCCCGGCCTGGACTACATCTCCCGGCACCCCCCCGCGCGGCTCCAGGACTACAACTCCCGTCGTGCCCCGCGCGGGAGGCGTTGCCGCCGCCCCGCCCCGCCGGGCCGTGACGCGCGCGGGCTCTATGGCGACGCGGTGACGTCACGGGCGGGGGTGAGAGGTCACGGAGGCGGCGGCGGCGCCGGTGCGAGGGCAGCGGAGCCGCGTCCCGGCCCCGGCCCCGGTCATGGCGGCCCGGCGGCTCCGCGGCGCCCTCCAGCTCGGGGCCCGGCACCGGCTACGGGCCGCGGCGGCCCCGCCCGGGAGGTGAGCGCCGGGCACCGGAGCCGCGGGAGCCCCGGCGGTGACCTCGGGGGCGGGCGGGGAACGATCGCGGCGCGGAGGGGACCCGGGAGGGGGGGTGGGGGGGAGGCAGCGGGAGCCGCGGGCCGGGGGGGCACCGGGGGGGAGCGGGGGCACCGGGGGGGGAACCGGGACCGGGAGAGGGACCGGGCCCCACCGGCACGGGGCGATCGGCACCGGGGGAGGGCCCCGCTCCGGGCGGGGGAGGGCACCGGGGGCCGTGGGCGCCGCTCGGCCGAGCCCACCGGGAGCCGCCCCCGGTGCTCCCGGGGCCGGGGCGGGGCCAGGAGCCCCCCGCCGGGCCCGACCTTGGGGCAGCGCCGCCCTCGGGGCCGCGTCCCGGCGGCGGGTGCCAGCCCCGGGCCGGTGCCAGCGCCTGGGGCCGCCCCGGTGGCCGCTCCCGGTGCCCTGACCTCAGGACACCCCGCACCGGCCCCGCTGACCTCCACACCCGGCCCGCCGGCACCGGGCACCCGGAGGAACCGGCGGCTCCTGCGAGCCCGGCCGGGTGCAGCACCGGTGGCCCCACCGCCGGCCGTGCCCGTGCCCCAACCCCGGTGGGGGGGGGCACCGTGCAGGTGAGCCCTGGGCCCGTGCGGCACCGGGCAGAGCGAGCAGCGGGCACGGCCCCGGGCTGGCGGCTATTCTGGGAGCTCGGGGGCTGCCAGGAGCCCCGGGTGACTTCTCCTTGGCGCAGGAATGTCCCGCGGCTCCTGGGGGCAGCCGGGACCTTTCCTCTCCCTGGGCCGCCGCTCCTGGGGGAGAGCTGGCTAAAAATACCTGCGCTGCCCCGCGCCCGCTGGAGCGCTTCCAGCTGTGGCCGGCGCTGACCCCGCAGCTCCACTGTGCCCGGGGCCTCGGTGCCCACCCGGTGCTCGGAGGGGCTGGGGCCGGCTGCTGGGAGCCCAGGGCTGGCACCACGGGAGGACCCTGCGGCCGTACCGGCAGCGAGACGCCGGGCACGGGACCCCGCTGCTTTAGGGCTGGGCATCGCCCCGGGAAGCCGGGAGCGTGGCCTCCCCTCGCACCGGGCACCGGCTGCGGCGCCCCGAGGGATGCAGCGGGGCCAAGGGGGGGGGACACGGAGAAGCTCCGGGCTGAGCCGGGCTCCTCGCCGCCTCCGGTGCCGTGGCGCAGGGCTCGGGAGGGGCAGCGGGGGGTAACGGGCAGTTGTCCCCGCTCCGCTGGTCCGGATTAGGTGTCCCCGAGGTCAGGTTTCCCCTGCCTTCCTTCTCTTACGCAAGAGCGGCTCTGGCAGCAGCCCCGGACTCCGCACTTGGACTTCCCCGGCCTGTCCCCACTGCCCCGGGGTGGCAGCGATGGGGCTGGCCCTGAGCCCCCGACTCCCCTCGCGCACCTGGGGACTCCAGGGAGGGGCAGGGGCAGCTCTGGACGGTGCCCGGCCCCCCAGGAGGGGCTGCCCTGCCCGGTGCTGCGCCCCCCCCTGACTCCCCCCTCCTGCCCAGGCACGCGGCGCTGTGCGGCCTCCGGCTCGGCCGGCCGGTGAGCGGCACCGAGGGGGAGCCGCGGCGCCAGCCCAGCCGCTCCTTCCTCAACCTGGCCGGGTCCTTCACCAACAAGCGCAAGGAGTACTCGGAGCGGCGCATCATCGGGTAGGTGGCTGCGGGACCCCCCCCCAAACCACGGGGTACCCACCCAAGCCTCCCCCCCCAAACCCGCTGCAGCGCCCCCGCTCCCCCCGCAGGTACTCCATGCAGGAGATGTACGACGTGGTGTCCAACGTGGAGGACTACAAGAACTTCGTGCCCTGGTGCAAGAAGTCGGTGGTGGTCTCCAAGCGGTCCGGCCACGTCAAGGCGCAGCTGGAGGTGGGCTTCCCGCCCGTGCTGGAGCGCTACACCTCCATCGTCACCCTCGTCCGCCCCCACCTCGTCAAGGTGAGCGTGGCCGCGGTGCCCCCTCCCCTCAGCCCGGCCCCCTGCCCCCCCTGACCGGCTGCTCCCCACCTCCCCAGGCCTGTCTGCACGGACGGGCGCCTCTTCAACCACCTGGAGACCAACTGGCGCTTCAGCCCTGGCATCCCCGGCTACCCCCGCACCAGCACCGTGGATTTCTCGGTAAGACCCCGCTGCGGTGGGGCCCCGGCCCCGTGCCCCCACCCCCGCACCGGGCGCTCACGCTGCCTGCTCTCTCTGCTCGCCAGATCTCCTTCGAGTTCCGCTCCCTGCTGCACTCCCAGCTGGCCACCGTCTTCTTCGACGAGGTGGTCAAGCAGATGGTGGCAGCCTTCGAGCGCCGGGCGGCCAAGAACTTCGGTCCCGAGACCCGCATCCCCCGCGAGCTCATGTTCCACGAGGTCCACCAGCAGACGTGAGGGCAGCCCGGCTGCTGCGGACTGCGCCAGGGCCCCGGGGCCGCTCGCCCTGCCCACCCTCTTAAATATTTATTTGAGTGCATCTTTGCTGCCGTTGCCTCGACTTCCCTCCCAGCCTCGGGGGCGAGAGGTGATGCTCCTGCAAGCGCGGGGGCTGCTGTGAGCCCCCCGGTCCCATCTCAACACCAGGGGAGCTGCGGCCCAGGGCCAGCCTCCCCCTGGTTGTGTAGCTGATTTTGGTTTTAAGTTTTGTTTTGTTTTAGTTCTTGGGAGCTCTTTTTTTTTTTTTTTTTTTTTTTTTAAAAAGAAAAAAAGAAAACTCTTTTTGTTCCTCATAACTCCTCTGCAAGGCCAGAGGGTCCCAACCCCTCTGCAGGGGTGGAAATGCTCCTGGGGCAGCTCTGCCCGGGCCCTGCGGAGGAGGAAGGTTGGTGCTGGCGGCGGGGGGAGCCCGGCTGGATGCTGCTGGGGAACGCCAGGGGCCAGGGCTTGCCGGGGGGGGGCCTGACTGCCAGGGCCCCCCCGCCCCATCCCCTGACTCTTCAGGAACGAAAGGGAAGGAGAAGGGTACAGAGAGAGGAGGCGGCAGCTGGAGCAGAGCTGCTGCCGGCCCCTCGCCTGCAGCCGCCGCAGGGGGGGCCCCCAGCACGGCCCCCCCCCTGGGTCCGCAGGGAGCGGAGCCGAGCCCCCGGCAGCGCCCGCGCCACCGCCAGACCCGACGTCGCACATTTGCACAAGTCGCACGCACAGCGGGGGGGGACGGGGGGGCTTGCTCAGAACTTGCCCCCCCCCTCCCCCTCCTCCCCCAGCCCCTCGCAGCCCCCCCAGCACTTGCCCCAGGGACCAGGATGGCCCCGGCCCGAGGCACCCCCTGCCCCCCCCCCCCCCCCCGAGCTTCCCCTTACCTTCAGTGTGGAGGATCCAGCTCCAGCAGGCCCGAACACCCGCTGAGGGGGGGCCCACCGGGGGCCCCCTGAGCCCCCCCCAACCCCAGGCTCTTCCCCCTTGCCCCCCCCCCCAGTTCCATCCCCAGCACCGAGGGGATCGTGGCCTTGCTGCCCGAGGAAGGACTTCTACATGCCAATAAAGAGCATTTTCCAAGGGTGAGCCCGGCCTCCTGGTCTTCATTTAGGGGCTGCAGGGCTGGGAGGGGGGCAGTGGGGTGGGGGGGGGGCATGCACTGAGCCCCCCAGGCCCTGAACCAGGCTCCTGCCTGGCACCCGCAGGCACCACAAGCCCCCTGCTGCTGGTTTGTAGCGCTCCTGGGGGGCCAAGCACCACCCGGCCCCAGCAGGGACAAATGGGGGCCAGGAATCCACAAAGTGGGGGGGAGAACCAGCCCTGACGCCCCCCCCAGCCCTACAAGAACAGCCCCAGGGTCAGGGTCCTGCACCCAGCAGGACGGCTGGCGGGCAGCAGCTGGGGCTTTGTTAATAAAAACATTTATTTTGCATTTTTTTGTTGTTTGTACAGAACCGCCCAAAGCCTGCGATGGGCCGGGGCTGGGCCGGCACGGGGAGGGGGGGGGCCCAGCTCCGGCTCCGGGGGCATCGGGTGCGGGGATTCACACAAACACTGGGGGGGGGCACGGGCCGGGGAGGAGTGTATCGAGGCCTTTCCAGGGAGAAAGGGGGGGGCTGAGACATTCGTTCTTCACCAGCTGCCCCGAGGGCTTGAGCCCCACACTGGGGGTTGTGGACAGGAGTCTGGACTGAACCCCTCTCGGGGGGGGGGGGGCACGGAGGGGGGGGGGTTAAATGGCTGCGGTGGGGCAGCCCCACAGCCCTGCAGTGCCAGCCCCCCAGCAGCGGGGAGCCCGGGGGCTCCGTGTGCGTGGCGCTGGCCCAGGGCAGAGCCAACAAAGGGGCGACAGCCGGGAGGCTGGGGGGGGGTCCAGGCCCGGAGGGGGGGGGGGCCCTGTGCCAGGGCAGGGAGGGGGCACAGGGCGGGTGGGACCCCCGGGGCTGCCTCTGCCGCCCCGCAGCCGGAGCGGGGTTCAGTGCCGAGTCCGTCCCGGGGCCCGGAGGCGTCGTGGGGGGAGCAGCGAGCGCGGCCCCGTTCCCGTCCCTTTTTTACCCAGATTTGTAGCCCACGAGCTGCATCAGCCCCTTGGTGCTCATGGATTTGGGCCGCTCCAGGGGGAAGCCCAGAGCCCGGCTCCAGATGAGCTGCGAGAGGACGCCCAGGGCGCGGGACACCCCGAAGAGCACCGTGTAGTACTTCATCTCCTTCATGCCGTAGTACTGCGGGGGGGAGAGTGGCGTTAGGGCCCGGCCCGGGGGGGTGAGAGGGGAACTTTCGGGGCAGGCCCGGCCCGAGGCTCACCTGCAGCAGGACCCCGCTGTGGGCGTCCACGTTGGGCCAGGGGTTCTTGGCCTTGCCCTGCTCCAGCAGCACGTTGGGGACGATCTTATAGAGCTGGGCCACCAGCTTGAACATGGGGTCCTTGGGCAGGTGCTTGAGGGCGAACTCCCGCTGGCAGGTGTAGCGGGGATCCGTCTTGCGCAGCACGGCGTGGCCGTAACCCGGCACCACCTGCAAGGAGGGGGTCAGAGCCCGGCACGGCCCCGGCCCCTCGCCCCTCGCCCCGGCCGGGCCGCACTCACCCTGCCTGAGTTGAGCGTGTTCCAGATGAAATCCCGCAGCTTCTCGTCCGACACCTCCTGGCCCAGCTCCTTCTGCAGGTCGGTGAGCCACAGCAGCACCTCCTGCAGGCACGGACAGCGGGCAGGGGGTGAGAACGGTGCGGACAGACGGACGGACAGACAGACAGATGCAGGCAGAGCTGCCCTACCTGGTTGGCGAGGCCGTGCAGGGGCCCGGCCAGCCCGTTCATGGCGGCGGCGAAGGCGAGGTACGGGTCCGAGAGCGCGCTGCCCACCAGGTGGCTGGTGTGGGCGCTCACGTTTCCCCCTTCGTGGTCGCTGCAGGGGGCGAGGGGCTGCATTAGGTCTCCCACGCCCCCCACCGAGGGTCCCCACAGCCAGAGGAAAGCCCCCGCAGCATTTTTCGGGGGGGGGGGGGGGGGCAAAAACCCCTCCCCACCACGCTCCCAGCCCAGCACGGCCCTGCCCCAGGGCTCTGCACCATGCACCCGGTGCCACCCTGGAGCAGCCCGGGCACATCCCAGGACCTTGCCCCATCCCTTGCCCCGGGGCAGGGCCAAGTCCCCGCCTGCTCCCTTCCCCTGCCGCTCCCCGGTACCTGTGGATGGTGAGGTAGAGCCGCATCAGCTCGATGAACTGGGGGTCGGTGTAGCCCAGCATGTTGGTGAAGTTGTGGGACCAGTCCAGGTTGGGGTCGATGGCCCCGATGCTGCTGCCCTCGCGGTACAGGTTGCGGTAAATCTTCGCGGCGACGCAAGGCAGCTTGGCGATCAGGTCCATGGCGTCCTCGTAGACAAACTGGGACAGACGGCGGTGAGATGGAGCTGGGGGACCGTGAGCCCCGTGCCCCCAGCCCCGCACCGAGGCACCCGGCCCCCCCCCCTGTACCTCCCAGTACTTGACCCGGTTGATGCCCTCAGCGTAGGCGCGGGCGAATTTGCTCTCGCTGTTGAGGGCGGTGATGGCGGCGCTGAGCTGGGACATGGGGTGCAGGTTGGTGGGGAAGTTGTCCAGCATGGTCACCACGTGGGAGGGCAGCGCGGCACGCTTGGCCCACTCGCGGGACACCCAGTTCACCTGCGGGGAAACGAGGGCTGAGCCTGCGGGCTGGGGGGGCTGCCAGCCCACCCCCCCCCTCCCCAGGACCCCAGCACGTTACCTGCTCCTGGGTGGGCACCTCTCCCGTCACCAGCAGCCAGAAGAGCCCCTCGGGCAGCGGCTCCTCGCCCCCCGCTGCTTTGGGCAGCAGCTTCTGGCACTCGGGGATGCTGTACCCGCGGAAGCGGATGCCCTGAAAGAACCCAGAGCAAGCGTCGGCCGCTGCAGCAAAACCCACGCGAGGCGGACACCTGAGCCGGGCAGAACCCTACCTCATCGGGATCCAGCACCGAGGTCTCGTAGATCAGCCCCTTCATGCCCCTCATCCCGCCGTACACCTGGGGAAGGGCGGAGGGAGGGGGTTACCCCGGTGGCGCAGCCCCCTGCGGCAGGACGCGGCCCCCCCCCCGCTCACCATGTCCACCGTGATCTGCCCGATGGCCGTGCTGCCGTGCTGCTGCCTGAAGTTCTTGATTTTCGCTTGCTCCTTGGGGATCATGTTTGCAAGGACGTCTTTCAGGTTCTGGGAAAGGGGAGGGAACCGTGAGCCCCGGTGCCTGTAGGGGGGGGCGACCACGCACCCCTCAACCAGCTCCGGGAAGGGCTGACAGCCGCGGGGGCCGCTCTTACCGTGGCAGCGCTGGCGTGACGGGCGGCGAAGAGGACGCACGGCGCATTCTGCGGGAGAGCAGACACAGGGGCTGAGTTACCCCGGGTCCCCAGCGCCCCCCGGCTGCCCCATTCCGGGCAGGGTTTCAGCCAGGCGAGCACAAGCCCCGGCCCCGGCTGTCGGCACCAGAGCGCAGCTCCTGCGGCAGGAGCAGCCCCGTGACTCCGGGAGATGGAGATCTCCGGCTCGCAAGGACGCTGCGCCCTGCAGCCGGCGCCTTCCCCGCCCACCCGCGCCGAGATCAGACCCAGCAGGTTCAGCCAGGCACCGGGGGGAGGCCGGAGCGGGGCCTCGCTCATGCACGTCACGTACGGGCCCCTGCTGCAGAGCGAGCTCCGCGCCCCCCCGTGCCCCTCTGCGCCCCGCCACCGGCCGCCTCTCGCTTCCTCCTCCCGGCACAGAGGAAGCGGCGGCACGTGGGAGCCGGTGGTGCCGGCAGAGCCCAGCCAGGCCGACATTACCGCAGGTTTCCTGTGCGGGGGCTCGGCATGGTGTGTCCTGGTGTGTCCCCCCCTTCTCCACACCCACCCCCCCCGCCAGCTGGGCAGGCATCCAGGGAAAGCCAAGCTTTGTTCCTTGCCCGCGCGCTCCCAACCGCGGGGACTCCGGCCGGGCAGGACGCCCTGACGCAGCCCGGCAGCCCCGCGCCGCCCTCGCCGCACCCTGGGGACACCGGGGACACCTGCACCCAACCCACGGCTGCCCCCGGGTCCCCCCGGGCACCCTGCCCGCAGCAGCCCTCCAAGCAGGGGTGCCCCAGCCCTGGGGAGTCCCCAGAGGACCCCCCCCCCGGGTTTCCCGATGGGACGGGGCGTTCGGACCCGCTGTGGTGCCCAGCGCAGCCCCCAGGCTCCGGGGCTGGGACCCCCGTACAGAGGGGGGGGCCGGGTGCGGAGGCTGAGGGGGGGGCTCTGCGCCCTGCATAACCCCAGGGCCCAGCCCCAGCAGTGCGGGGCCGGGCAGGTTTTGCAGCTCTGGGCCTGGGCCAGGCCCCCCCCGGCACAGGGCCAGCCCCCCCCCCCCGGTGCGGGGCCGCTGCAGCAGAGGCAGATCCATGACTCGCTTTTTCCACTGCCTCCCGGGGGGGACCCTGTGGGGCTCGGGCCGCATCAAACCCCACGTCCCGCAGCCCCACACCCCTCAGAAGCCCCCCAGCCCAGCACAGAGGGGGGGGGGGAACCCAGCCCCCCCAGCACAGCTCCAGCCCCCCAGCACGGCTGCGCGAGGCAGCTGCAGGAACAGGCGGCACCCGAGAAGGGAAAATGCCGCCGGGAACAATAGAGGCAGAACCAAGCCCAAGGTCAGGGCGGCTGCTGCGGGGCTCTCGCTCGGCCCCCCCACGAGGAACAGCCCCCGGCCCTCAGCCCCCCCCCAGCCTGGGGGACCCACGGGACAGCCCCGGGCACCTCCATGGGCCACGAAGCCCCCCCGCAGGCTTTTAGGGCTGAATCCGCAGGGCCGTGTCCTGCAGCAGCAGGGGGTAGGGCCCCCCAAAACTCTCCTTGCCCCCCCCCCAGACCCTTTCCATGCCCCCCATGGGGGTGTCAGCACCAGCACCGTCACCAGGCGGTGTCACAGCGCGAGGGCCGCGGTGCCCCCCACCTCTGTGCCTCCGGGGGGGTCCCGCTGCACCCCCTGCCCCCCCCCAGCACAGGGGTGGGGGCACCCTTGCGGCCGCGTCCCCGGCCCCGCCCGGGCCGAGCTGTCACAAGCTCAAGGTCACACGTGCGGGC